GTTATTCATTGGATTCATACTGGCCTCCACCTATTAACATATCAAAATCCCATCCATTTCCAGTTTGTTGATTCCTTCCAGCTGTTTCTTTACAGTTGTCATAATACTCTGATTTCCATAGCAAATAATCACCCCCACTAAGGACTGCCTTTACCAGAGTATTCCAGTCAATAGCAGTTAGCCATTTTTCAGCCTCCCCTTCTACAAGAGCCAAGGTATATAGAGCTATACCCTTATACTGCGACACAGCAGCCTTTAATTCTTTGATTACTTGGAATTCATGTCCTCTATGATGTCGCCATGTCTGTCCCCAGTCATCAACTGTTTCTGTTACGGGAAAAGCCTCCATATGGGAGGAAAAGCTATCAGGGTTATTAAAGTCTCCTTTGTATAAATGGAGGCCGGGACTTTGAGGATTGTGGCAAACTTTTTTCCTATCCACAACAGTTTTTTTTTGTTTTTTTGTTTTTTTTTTTTACCTATTTTAAGTTTTTGTAATTTGAGTATCAATGATTGATGCATTTTCTTCAGTTTAATTTGTTCCTGCAATTGTGCTATCTGTTTCTTTAATTTTGATCTAGGATCTATTGTTGTCATTATAGTCGGAGCAGATGGTGCACTGAAAGAAGGAAGGCGGCCACACTCTTGCCCCTTGCAGCCATTAGGTGGCGACCTAGTCCTAGTTTTACAAACCAACCCCTCCCTCTCAGACTCTGAGCTATCTGTATCTGAGGATGGACAGGCAGCTTCTGGTAAAAGAGGATAAATACGAATATGCTCTTTTACAGACTTTTTGGGCATCCTCTTAAGTCCCCTTCCTTTTAACTGACCCGGAGGACTCCCTTTTTATATTTTGAGAAGAATCCTCATCTTTACTATCAAGAGAAATCAAGTCAGGCGTGTCCTTGGGAGTATCTGGAATTTCCCTCAACTCTGACTTGGAACGACTTCTAAAAATCTCTTCAGCGTGGGCAATCGCTGCCACTACTGAGGAATCTCTCCTATCTAGTAATTTCTTTATTAAATTCCAATAAGAAAAAGCATAAACAGGAACCTTTTCAGGTCCAAACACTGTATAAAAGTCTTGTAATGCATGTCCCACTCTTTTCTATCTTTTTATATCTATGGCTCCCTCTTGGGGAAACCAGGGACAAGTGTCCTTTACAAAATCAAAGAAATGAAATAAATCTGTACTTTTAACTTTTACTCCAAGCTTTTATAGGGAAGCAGAGGGTGGAAGAAGCTGGGTGGGTTGTTCCGCTGTTTAGCACACATTCCACAGCCAGACCATGAGGCAGGATGTTTTTACAGTGCCGAGGCAGGCTCCCGCGGTGAGTCCAGAGTGAAAAATCCTTATTGAACACGTTCCTTTGGGACGTCGTCTTCCCTCACTGGATCCTCAGTGTCCAGCCCTCACGTTGGGCGCCAGATGTCTCAGCCCGCGAGACAGTCAACGTGGGAACCTGGAGAGAGGAGAGGGGACTGAAAGGGACAAGAGATGCGAAGAATGGAGACAAGACAGGCTTTCTGATCAAGTCTCATTTATTGAACATCTACACAAAGCTTTTATAAGGAAGCAGAAGGGGAAGAAGCTACGTGGGTAAATTCCATTGTAACAGCACATTTGTTACAAGACCCTTGCAACAGCAGTAAATTCCAAAGTTAATTGTAAGTTCCAGTAAAGACCGCAGTTTCACAGTTAGATCACAAGTTACAATAAATTTCGCAGTCACATCACAAAGCCAGATGGTTCCACAAGATGGAGAAGTCTCTCAAGTGTGGTAGAAAAGGTCAGGGCAGGGAAACATGTTTTTTCACAGTGCCACCTGGTTAGCCTTTAACTGGGTCAATTGTTGATGCCTGCAAACAGCCTGTTTCACAGACAATGGTTGCTGTTTTCTGGGGTGGGGGCCTAAGGCTCCCCACAGGCCTGCTAACTGAAAAGAGAGAAAAAGTTACTTAAGCATTTAATTTGCATGTCAAGTCTGGGTCTAGCAATGGAATTGGATGTTCCTGCACACAGAGAAAAGTATGCCTCAATCTCAAGTCCTATGTGGCAATCCTCGGCTGAAGGAAAGGGGTCTGTTGCAGACTTCCTATCCGTCATATAACGGCAGACTTTTTACTACTTTTAGTTAATTTGCTATTAATAACTGAATAATTGGCACCATAGTCAGCCAAGATCTTCATCATTTGATTTCCCATTGTCAACTATGCCTAAGACTTCTGTGGGAAAATTACAATCTGTTTTGAAAGACTGAGTCCCAGGGAGTCTCTGTATCTGTTTGTTTTGAGACAGGATCTCCCTGTAGGCCCAGCTGGCCTGAATTTTCTATGTAGACCAGGCTGGCCTTGATCTCACAGAGATTCACCTGACTCTGCTTCTCAAGTGCTGGGATTAAAGGAGTGTGACACCATGCCCAACTGAGTCTCTTGATCATTCCCTCCAACTCCAACACCACGGAGTTTTGTGTTGTTTTTGTATCCACTGAGTCCAATTAGTGCTCCTGTTGGAATGTTGACTCATTTTGCTAAAGGTCTTATGCAGGTAACCAGAGCTGCGATGAGTTCATGAGTGCAAAGGCCATGTCATGACCAGAAGACATGCTTTCTGCTTTTAAAGTGTTGCAGATGGACAAATGAAAAAAAGAACAGTTTTCCTATTAACAGTGCCTGTAACCCTCACCCCCAGTAGCTTAAGCTTTGTTCAGGTCACCTAGCTAATTAAAAAAAAAAAAAAAAAAGACTGGGGTGGGATGGGGGCAACTGGATTGTAGCTCAGCATCAGAGCACCTGTCTGGCATTTGCAAAGCCCTGGGTTCCATTTCCTGCAGGGAGGGGAATGAGGAGGGAGAAGGGCTCTGGGCTCACTTTACATCTAGGGTCTTTGTTTTTCCCTAAAGCACTAGCAGAGCCTTGGGAAATACCTGCCTTCTAGAGAGCTCTTAAAATCACCCTTCCTGACATTGACATCCTGTTGACCACTGAACCGCTGGGAGTGTCCACAAAGAATTAAGTCACTCAAGCTTTCTGTTCCTATTACATCACTCCATCAAATGCCCACTCAGGTAAACAAGCCCTGTGAGTCTGTGTCCTGGGTCCTTTGGAGGGTCAGCCCTGGACAGAACCAGCAGTTCTCACTTGCATGCCACTGCTGGCTGCTGTGCCCTGCTACTCTCTGGGCGGAGCCGCAGGCCAGTGCTCTCTCTTTTGGCACTTCAACCAGCTGTCCCCAGAGTTGTCATTCACTAGCAGAACAAGAGAAGGCAGTGATGATCTGGGAGCAGCTGCTCTGGATGCTGGCGCTGTGTGTGCTGCCCCTAGTGCTGTGCTTCCTGCAGGCAGATGCTGACCTGACTCTGCTGTGGGCCGAATGGCGGGGTCGTCGGCCAGGTGAGGACCCTCAGTGATATCCAGCTGCAAGTGGGACACCCCGGCTGGGAGCCACGGAAGCACGTTTTGATCTCTGTTGGTTCCAGTCCTCCTGGCTCCCGCCAGGTTGTTGGAGCCTCTGTTGTTACCCTGAGCATTTTGGGGATGCGGTTTAGGGAGGAAAAAGTTGGACTAAGCAAGTAATTTGGCTCTGTTGTGCTCCGCCCTGCTCTGAAGGTGGCAAGGCGTGACTTTCATGTTGGAAAACTTCTCCAGAGGTTGTCAAACGGCTCCTGAAAAAAAAACCACACTCGAATCTCGAGGCACCTTGAGACCCTGACCTCACCAAAATCCCAGAGATCCAGTACAGTATGAGGGGGGGACCCTGGGAGACAGTGAGGGCCCTGCCATGCTGAGGGGCCTCCTCGGAAAAAGGCTCAGGGACTCTTTTTTTCCGAAGGTGTTTGTCTTCGGTTTCTCACTCTTCCAAAGTGTTGAAATAAAATCCTAGACCATCTAAGTCACCAACTTGCCTACTCACTAGCATCCAAATGCAAGGCTGAAAGACCCAGGAGTTCTTTCTGGAATGGCATGATTCCTGCACACTAGTGGGTATTCTGCTTACCTCCCTTTGCTTTGTGTCTTGCTTTGCGTTTGATCAGCTTGTATCTGTAGATGACATTGTTAAACACACACGGAGTGCTAGTTTGACAGTGTGCTCAGCACGTCACAACCCCTGGCCCTCAGAACAGCGCTTGCAAAGTGCCTTTATTGGTGTTGCTTTCTTGACAGGGAAACTGACCTTAATAGAAATTAAATGACCTTCCCCAAGAGCCTAAGAACTAGTGGAATTTTCCTGATTTCTTGTGAAAGTACCCAAAGAATGTAATGAAGTTTGCTCGGAAGTGATAGCTGCTCAGAGGATGTTTTCTGTGTGGAATGGATGATTTTGGTTCTTGGGGACCCAAAAAATAAAATAAAATAACATAAAAAACTTTCCCTAAAAAGCTCACCCTACAGAACAAAATCTTACTTTTTAATTTCATTTCTTGGCTATGATTTGTACAGCTTTCGCACTGAATTCATAGAAAATGCACCGTGTGTGTACAAAGTGCGGAGCTATAAAACTAAGGTAAGTGGATGGCTGTATTTAGATGAATTTCTTTTGTTTCGAAGCAGGGATTTCACATCACAGTTTTATTTAATAGCATGTCCTCTTGATTGACAGCTCCATTACAACAGCCTTTGCTGCCTGTGGATGTTGGGGTTCCATGCTCAGTGCTTTTGCATTAACCTGAACTTGGAGAGTACTTTTATTATTGAAGTTCTCCAAAAGTCATTCAATTCATCAATAGGAAAATTGTCGATTGACAATACAAATAAGGTTTATGATAGTTTATTTGTGATATGATTTGTAAAATTTGGTATTGATTAGATAAATTGCTGCAAGTTATGTTAAAACAACAGTTATAATAAAAATGTTAATGGCTTTAAAATGTTAACTTTTAACTCTTGCTTAAGAGCTGCTCTTGCAGATGACCAGGGGTTCAGTTCCAGCACTTACATAACAGCTAAAAACTAGTTTTGACTCCAGTAATAGGGAATCTGACACCAAAGAGGGCCTCTGCAGGCATTTTCTTGCAGGGGTGCACTTACATACATGTAGGTAAAACAGTCATAACCATAAAATAAAAATAAATAATTTTTTAAAAAATATGAATTTATGTGATATTTGCCAAACCCACATGCTTAAAAAATATTTTATAAATTCTTTGAGAATTCATGCATTCATACAATGTATTTTGATCATAGCCATGTTTCGCTCCTCCCTCTATCTCCTCCCAGATCCTCCTCACCCCAATCCCTCCCAACCTCGGGTTCTATTTTTTCTTTATCTTTTTTTTTTTTTGACCTGCCAAGTCAACTTTGTGCTGCCCATATAGTCATGTATGGAGCCATCCACTGGAGCATGGTTGAACTACCAAAGACCATATCTTTACAAAAACTGGACTCTCCCTCCCCTACAAGTCACCAACTGTCAATAGCTCCTTAACTAAAGGTGAGGGCTCTTGCGCCCCTCCCCTTCCCATGCTAGAATGCTGATTTATCTTGTGCAGATCTTGTGTAGGCAACCTCAGCTGCTGTGAATGTGTAAATGCAGTAGTCCTGTATGTCCAGAAGATAGTTTCCTGATTATGTCCTCCACGACTTTCTGGCCTTTACAATCTTTCTGATGCTTCGTCCTTGATGGTTCCTGAGCCTTGTGGGAATTTTATTTTGTTTGTTTTTTAAGCCAGGGTCTCTTATAGCCCAATCTTGCCTCAAACTTGCCATGTATCTGAACAGGATATCTTGAACTCCTGATCTTCCTGCCTTCACCTCTTGAGTGTTAGAATTACAGGTGGCTTATATGGTGCTGGGGATTGAACCCAGCACCCCCTGAATGATAGGCAAGCATTCCACCAGCTGAGACACATTCCCAGCCCCTCCACAGACTTTCTTAAAGACAAAAATTTTGCACTATTGTAGTGAAAAGTTCAGAAAGACACTTGCTATGCTCCAGCACAATCTCCTGCCACTGCTCGACTGCTGCATCAAATGTAGTCTTTAATACAGACATAGTGATGCTTACAGAATACATCAATTCATATTTCTGTCTTATACAATACATCTTAATGAACTGCTAGATCCTCCTAAGACAAGAGCACACATATTTGGGAAGCTTGTTTACTATATATTATCTGACAGATATCAGCTATGATTAAATGCAGGTTGATCACATCATACTGTAGACTAGAACTTGGAAAATTCAGATTCTTTATCAACAACTCCACTGCAAAACTTTGGAATAACAGAACTGGGCAGGACCCGATTATGTAATCCGAAGCTCCCATTTAGGGTAAGAAAACTGGATCTAGGCAATGAGTCTCTCTCAACTGGCTTTAATTCTTCACCAGATACATATATAAAGAGAACCGTGGAATGAATTGTCAGACTTATGAGGCTTAGGTAGAATGAAGTCTGGAAAACTTACCAAGATTTTGAAATGAACAAAATACTGTGTAAGTAAGAAACATTCCTGCTTTTTAAAGAAACCTTTGTTAGGAGATGTTTTCTTAGGATATTTGAATTTTTAAGCTTTAGATATTAGGGTGTGGTGTTGAATGATAATCTTCAAGTTTATTTACTTCTTCATTCATGTTTTCTTGCTCTATGTATAGGAGTGCCATCTATCACCTATCTGCCCCCTTCATCCCTCCTCCTTCCTCAACAGAATGGGAGCTGACTGACATGGTGGTGTGGGTGACTGGAGCATCAAGTGGCATTGGTGAGGAGCTGGCTCTCCAGTTGTCTAAACTAAGAGTCTCTCTGGTGCTGTCAGCCCGAAGGATACAGGAGCTGGAGCGTGTGAAGAGGAGATGCCTGGGTGAGTAGATCCACAGCAGCAGCCGTGCTTCCTAGAAGTGAGTCAGAATCCAAACTCTAGTACAGCTTTGGGACCTGCGGGAAGTTGGAATTGTCCTGAGTGGTTCACTCTGGCTCCAGTGCACTGGTCCAGGCCTTTTCTTTAGACATCTCTACACCCCTTGCTTTTCCTTCTTTAATGCCACCTTTCTGATACAGGGGAGATCAGATTCCCCGTCTAGGGTTCTTAGTCTCATTCATAAGAGAATTTAAGAATGGACTCAAATGGAAGCTTTTGGACAATTTTATTAGAATTTAAGGAAAAAAAATCCTCAGGACAGGCAAGCCATAAATCTCATTTGCTGCCTTGGGAGGGGGAATGGAGGGGAGAAGGGAAAAATACATAAAGCCATACTGGTTTAGAGGCCGCATAGAGAGGTCTGTCACATAGCTGACTAGCAGCCATATGGGGGGTCAGGGAAGGGAGTTGTAGAGAAAAAGGTTACAAAACCTAAAATGTTGATTTTAAAAGATGTGTATAAAAGAAAAGGAGAGATTATGCTTTTCTGAAGGAAGAAAAGCAGGCAAAACTTAAGGCGAGCCATGTTTGCAAGCAACTGGATCCACAGGTGTGGCACTAAGGGGTGGAGATTCCAGGGAGGAAAAGTTTACCATCTCATTAACACAGCAAGTATTCTGCCCATCTCTTTAGCATGACTTAAGGTGAACCTGCCTTCGGGGGTGGTCCTGTGCTCAGGCGATCTGGCAAAACTGGAAAGTTGGATCTTCATCCAGCCAGAGAACCTTATGCTTTTAACCAGTTTTAAGGGTTTGTGGTTGGTTGGTTGGTTTTACTATTGTAACATTTCTACTCTTGTTGTTTTGGTACCAGTTCTTTAGCTATTGACTGTCAATTCACATGTTGGTGGAATTTTAGTGATTAAATGATGTATAACTTATCAAAAGGGAAGAACAACTTGGCTCTTATCCATGCTATGCATATGTAACCACTGAGATTTAGGAAGGATTCTTACTCATTTTGCTTTAACGTCATACATTAAAGTGATTGCTACTACTATACCACTTCTGTTATATAGGATAAAAGGAAAGAAATGAAATTAGGTTTGAGAAATGCAGCCTGATATGATATCTTTCATATTTATAATAAGGGCAACAATGTTTTTCTATTGTTTGAGTTTTGATCCAGTCATGTTTAATTTGAAAATAGGCTCAAGTAAAAAATGTTATCATTGCCTATAGGGCATTTAGGCAAATTGAGATAATTTTGAATTTCCTCCTAGAATGTATTTTTGATTGATCTCTCTTTTTAAAATTTTTGACTTCACTGGCTGAACTATTCAGTAACAAGAATTCATTGTCCCATTAATGCTCAGCAAGGCCACAAGCCTCTTTCATGATCCTGGTTTTGAAGGCCCCTTGCGTTTGTGCCCTATGGTGTTTCCTGTCGTCCTTTTCCCTCACTACTGTGATTCCTGCTCTGGTGGAGCATTTGAACCGTTTCTGCAATTCTTAGCTGGCTTGAGGATGACCACTTTCCTTTTATGTGTGAGTCCTAGGGGGATAGCCTTTCCATTGCTTGTTCTTAATGTTCTTAATTTTTAAAATGTTCATACACGTATATGTTGTGTACTGAGTATGTCTCCCATGTCTCCTTACTATCCTTTCCTCCTCCCTCCCCTTTTCCATGAATCTTCTTTGTTCTCCTAGACAGTTTGCTTCTACTTTCATGTCATATATATGGACGTGATTTTAGGCATCAATGTAAAATCTAGTAATCATAAATGAGAGAAAACATAATTTGTCTTCTGAGATGGCCTTCAATCACTTACTATGATTGTGCTAAGAGGCATCATTTTCTTGCAAATATTATAACTTCATTTTTCTTTATGACTACAAAAAACTCCATATGTATATATACTACATTTTCTTTATCCATCCCCATGATGTTGACAACTAGATCATTTTCATAACTTAGCTATTGTGAGTAGTGCTGAAGTAAACATTGATGTGCAAGTATCTCTGATATGTTGACTTGGAGTCCTTCAGGTAAATACCTAGGAATTTTCTATTGTTTATGATACAGATGATAGGATAGTCTACCATTCCATATTTTCCTGTAAAGCTTCTGTGCCTCTTATTTTCTATCTTTGCTTTTCTTTTTATGCACTTTTCTTTTATGTATATGTGAGTGCCTGCATGTATGTATCTGCACCATGTGCATGCTTCGTACCAGAGAAGGGTGTCAGATCCCATGGAACTGGAGTTACAGGTGTTTATGAGCCACTGTGTGGGTGCTGGGAATGGAAGCTGAGTCCTTTACAAGAGCAGCAAATGCTCTTAACCACTGAGCCTTGCTCATTTTTCTTGACAGTTCTTGTTGTATTTTATGGTTAGAGTTCAAGAAAATCAGCACGAAATAATGGGTTTCATTTCCAATTTATTAGTGTATATTCACTGTGCAAAGCAGTAGGTTTCATAATGACATTTTTGTTCAAGTAAATAATGTCTTTTGACCATATTCCCCCTCCGTTGCTTTCCCTTAGCCCCACTTTCCACTTCTGCTCATATACTTCCTCTTAGATGGTTGCCCTTCTAAGTTCATGTCACACGTTTGTATCTGTGTATAAAAATACACACATACATAAAAATCTAGAGTCTATATATGAATATAAACATGATATATGTTTTTCTGTGTTTGATTTATTTTACTTAATATGATGATCTCTAGTTCTGTCCATTTACCTACAAATTACATAATTTCATTCTTTGGCTGAATGAAACTCTTTTGTATATCTATACTATATCTATCATGTATCTATCTATCTATCTATCTATCTATCTATCTATCTATCTATCTATCTATCTATCATCATCATCATCTATCTATCTATGCTGATTCCTTAATTCGGCCCTTATGAATAATATTGGTGTGTCAACAAACATGGTTGTATAGGAACCTCTCTAGTATGTTGACTTAGATTCCTTTGCATGCATTCCCAGGAACGGTACCACTAGATCATGCAGTACCTGAGGAACATCCATACTGATTTCCCTTAGAGCTTCAGCATTTGTCAGCAGTGTGTGAGGGTTTCTTTTTCTTCTTTATCCTTGCCACCATTTGCTATTTGTGTGTGAGAGTGTAGTGTGTATGCATGTATGTATTCATGTCTGCATGTATGGGCACACATGTGTGCAGGTGTGCTTGTGAAGGCCAAAGGTTTATGCTGAGTACCTTCCTCCATTGCTCTCCACTTTATTTACGAGGGAATGGTGTCTCGAAGAATCTGTTTCTTGCTGATTCAACAGGTCTCATTTAACTAGTCTAGTTATGCAACTTGACCAGGAGATCTCCTGTCTGCCTCCAGAATGAAGAGATTATAGGTGGCTGCTGTGCCCATGGGCTTTTTACATGGGCTCTAGGAATCTGAACTTTGGTCCTTATAGTTTTGCCTTACTGCGTATGCACCCAAAACCAGCTCAGGCCTGATCAGTCATTCTATTCTTCATACCTGGATACACCCAGGAATACATTGGATAGAAGCTGTCTAAATTTGATTGTTACCAGGGGCAGGGGATAATTAGCCTGAGGGGAGTACTACAGCTTCAGGCAGCTGGGGAGAGAGGGACATCTGAAGTTGTTAAGTGCATCATTTGAAGAGGGATGTGTGCACATAGGACGTGCAAGTGAAGGAGCTAGGCTGCCAAGTGCATTATTGCAAGGCCGGGCGGGTGGGGGGATGCCGGGGAGCATTTGTGCATAACTCCAAACCAAATGGGAGGCCCAAACTATACTGCTTCTAAGCTTGCCTGCTTCACCTGCTGTTTTTTTATTTTTTAAAAAATTTAAACTTACGCGTGTGCGTGTATTGCCTGCATGTAGGTAAGTGCATCCACGTCGTGCAATGCCCGCAGAGGTCAGAAGAGGCTGTCAGATCCCCTGGGAGTTATGGACAGTTGTTAGTTGCCATGTGGGTGCTGGGATTCAAACCCAGATCTTCTGCAAGAGCAACCAGTGTTCTTAACTGCTGAGCCATCTCTCCAGCCCCCACCTGTTGTTTTTAATGTTAACCATTTTATCACTGGGGATAGATACAATCACCAGTCTCCAGGGGGTGAATTACAATCTCAAGCCATTTTCACTTGCATTTCCCTGATATTCAAGGGTGTCTCATATATTAATTAACCATTTGTACTTGTCTTTTAGGCAGCGTCTGCTTATTTTATTTGTCCATTTATTGATTGGATGACTTGTTTCTTCTATTTTTCTTCTTCTTTTTTTTTTTTGATTATTTACAGATTCTAGATAGTAAACCTCTGCTGGATGTCTAGTTGACAAAGGTTTTCTCCATTCTGTGGGTTGTCTCTTCACTCTGGTGTTTTGTCTCTTTGTTGTGTAGAAGCTTTTTGTTTGTTTGTTTGTTTTTATTTGTACAAGTGTTTTGATTGCCAGTATGCTTATTGGCATGCTTGTAGTGCCCCGTGAAGGCTGGAAGAAGATGACAGAGCCACCATGTGGGTGCTGGGAATCGAGCCTGGATGCTCTGGAAGAACAAGTGCTCTTATCCCCTGAGCCATCTCTCTAGTCCACATTTGTGTGTGTGTGTGTGTGTAGAAGCTTTTGATTTCATGTTATCCCATTTCCCAAGTGAGCTTTTTTCCAAAAAGTCCTTGCCCATGCCTATGTCTTGAAATAATTTTCTTCTTGTAGCTTCAAAATTCATGTCCTACATTAAAACCTTTCAGCCATTTTGAATGAAGTTTTGTACAGTGAGAGATAAGGATCTAGTTTCATTCATTCATATGTGTGTATAGGTGTGTGTGTGTGTGTGTGTGTGTGTGTGTGTGTGTGTGTGTGTATTTCCCAGTGCCCTTTGTTGAAGAGACTGCCTTCCTCCAGTGTATATTTTTGGCACCTTTGTCAAAAGTTCGGTGTCTGTAACTGAGAATTTTGATGGTTCTTTCACCCTCTCTTTGATTTCATTGATCTATGTGTCTGTCTGT